GGGGGAGGGTGAATGATTCAGAGGACAGCCGCCTGGGACATTCGGCTAATGGCATACTCACACTAAAACAAAAGCCCTTATTTATTATGGACGTAGTTGCGGTCAGATACATCCAGGTCGGACCACAAATGAAGTCGGATACATTTAAGACAGAGCAAGTAGGAGTATACGGACGTAATTGCGGTCAGATACATCCCCGGACGATCAAGGTAAAGCGAAACGCCTACACGGAGAATTGAGGGCTCGAAAGCAGGAAAAATGAGGTCGTCACACAAAAACCGGACCATGTCAAATATAAACGACGAAAATTCCCTTCCTGGCCCTCGTAACAGCGTAATTTGATGGACACCGTGCCCCCAGAATTAAATGCTTGGATTATATACCCCCCCCCCCCCCCCCCCCTACAGGGAGAATCGAGGGGACGAAAGCAGGAAAAATGAGGTCGTTATACAAAAACCGGACCATGTCAACGACGAAAAATTCCCTTCCTGGCTCTCATTGCACGAAAAATTTGATGGACACCCCAGAAAAAATGCGTCGACTTTTATACCCCCGCCCCCCCCCCCACCCCACCCCACCCCCACAAATTAATCATGAGAATAAATATACATATGTTATGCACATGATATGTATAGGGTCATAGAGAGCTGACCGGTGAACCGTAGGCAGAAAGGGAGAAGACGGCAAGGAACAGGGGTCCGTAACAAACTGCTTGGTCGGAGTTCTCAGCGACTCATCGCCGGTTCGAGTACACACGAAACAATGGTGTAAGAAGTCCCAGATTTCAATTTGGAGGCAAGCAATCACTACATTAAGTACTCCAAAACGTGGGGGGAAATTTTAACTTTCCCGTACAAAAACAAAAGACAGGAGGGAGGGAGGAGGAGACTTGCCTGCGTCGTCGCCGCATGGTATTCAGATGTGACTCTTAGTATGGCAAAAAGTTAAAAAAAAGTTAAAATTTCCCATCTTACCGTAATAACCCGTTGGAGAACTAAACCCCTGCCTCCAAAAAATACAAAAAAAATATAAAAAAAACTCGCAAAAGCTTTTGGGAGTTCAACTCCTGAGTGACACAACAAAGTCTTCGGGCTTGAAACCCTCCCAAAAAAAAA